ACTACTTGTTCGACCACTAGAACTAGCACGGTGGCGAAGAATCACATGGGCCAATAGAGCAGGCACCACATGTCTAGATCATGTTCACTTTCGATAAACTGCTTCCTCATTTTCTTTCTTCAGCGACGACTCGTCATCTATCGGCGAGAATGTCACGCCAAAGGTAATACTCATAAACTTGTCTGCTGCGATCATTTTTACATTGACATTCGTTGCTGTTGTCAGATTCACATAACCGAGTTACCCCATGCACAGTGCAAGTTTGATAGCTAGCAAAAACAGACCATGGGACAAACCTTCGTGCTTCTCACCACGATAATCGCTGCTTGAAGTAGTCAGCGTCTGACAAGGTAAGTAAGCGTGATGTGAGCTGATCTCATACTGACGCAGCAGCTTGTGATTAGATCTTTGAACTTGTTGCGATTACATTCCGTGCAGCTGTTGAGGAAGAAAGGCATTCGTCGTCATTGGCGTGCTTTTCGTTATTTATGAAGACGCATACACCTGTTTTGCCGAGCTGCTCTTTCCAGCACTGATCTGCAAGTCACAAACCACCCCTGCTGTTGTTTCGGCTCGTCGACGTGTGTAACTTAGGCGACGACTTCCTCTGCTCGCTGTCGAACGGTCGATCCTCTTCTGTAATTGCAACATGCATACTCTCGCGCACGGGCTGCGCGAGGTACTGTGAATGACGCACACGAGCTGTTTGTATCTCACCAGCGCATTTGATATTGCACATACTACAAGACGTCGATCATGGCAAAATCGGCTGTCGATCCTCAGCAAAACTCAAACAGTTGACCCCACCTGTTCTGTCGACGTCAGCACAATGACACTTCGACACGCGCATTCAAAGTGTCTGGTATCGCAGTCAACTTGCACGATGTAGATCGAGAAGTACTCGCCCACTGAACTCTTGTCGGCACCTGAGACTATTGCCGTGCTAACTTGCACTCTATCGCTCGTAGCAGGACCTGAATGGCTTTCTGTTGCTCGGTCACCCGCACCTTTTCGTGTTCCCAGTTAGTGACGTCAGCTTTTACAGTTCCCAGTGAAGGGTTCAACACGGTTTCAACTGTCGGTTTTGTTTGTCAAGAATCGATTCTCTTTCACTTGGGACGGCGCACAAACTGCCTTTCAACAGCTCGTCGCTTGGTCACATCTCACCACTCGTAGCGTTGTGCAGTCCTGTCAGCTCACTCGAGATTTCTTCCATGAACCGCAAGGATCTCAAGCGCAAAGCTCTAGAGCCAGTATTTGTGGCTGGAAAGATTGCAGAGCTTACGTCCGAGCTCAAGAAGAACGATGCCACGCTGCGGGAAGAGATCCAAGCGCTGCGTGACGAGATCAGCGATTTGAAAACGCAACTAACCAGCAAGACCGAAGAATGCAGTCACATGGAGGCGGAAGCTCAATTTCTTCACCCAGATGCCGTGATGGATCGTGTTCGAACGAAATATTGGCACCACGGCGACCTCAGCCTTCTTCGGCGGGCCATCGACCCACGGACGCGAAAGCTCCGCATCACGAAGAGCCGAGGCGATCGGTCTCTATACCTTTGTGATACAGCACCAAAGAAAGCAAAGAAGACGCACGTGCGCGATGGCAGATCTTCTAAGCACGAGCTGAAGCGAGAGTGCAAGCAATCACCAGGAACAGAGACCACGGATTCTCCATCTACCCATTCAACGCATGATGCTCACGAAAAGTACCAGGAAGAATCGGATGTTGATAGTGTGTCGACAAGGGGAGAGAAGGAACAGGATGAAGCGGGCAGTGACAGTGAGCCGCACAGCGACGAGAAGGCAGTAAGCGACTCGGACGCTGACAGTGGCTTGCCAACTGAAGCGAAGGTGCAAGGTACATTAGATGCTGACAGGGTCTTGTCAAGAGAAGAAACGGAACTGGGCAAACCGGACTCCGGCAGTCGTTTGCCAGAGCCACAAGAAGGCACGTCTGCAACGACGTTGCCGCAAGAAAAGGAGACGCAGATGCTGTGGCAGCACTAATGTACATACATTGCCGTAAAAGATTGCAACGAGTGACGTGCAAACGTGTAGCTCCTACTGACTGATGGCGTTGTGTTGTAGTCCAGGACGAGTTTCTCCGTACCGTGCAGGTTAGCCTCAAGTCGTACGTTCATGCGTCTGCCGTTGATGAAGCATATCATCGTGAGACGGTACGGGTGGATACAACTGCATCCAGTGGACGTGAAAATGCTGTCTACGGAACTGGCAGCAGTCGTGACCGACATGCGTCGCGGTTTGACTCGGCGAGGGTTTATCCCGTCAAGTTATCCTGTTTCCACGTCGCTATCCTATCGGGCCATCCGCCGTCAATAAATCCTGTTCGCACAATCGCTATCCTGTCGGTCAAAGCAGCGCGCAGAATCACGCATACCCAACAGCAACCCTCGAGCATAAAAAAACAAAACACGGCACTCGTGCAAAACAGCAGATTAAAAAACGCAGTTGATGCGCAGCGCGCTCTGTTTCGCTCGTGGCGTCGTCGTGTCCCTTTGCTTCCAAAAAACCTCGCGCTTTCCCACCCAATCCAGTGTGCACCACTCCAGCCACTCGCGCTTTCCCACCGAATCCAGTGTACACCACTTCCCCACTCCCCCTCCCCCCAATCCAGTGTGCACCACTCCAGCCACTCGCGCCCTCCCACCCAATCCAGTGTGCACCACTCCAGCCACTCGCGCTTTCCCACCCAATCTAGTGTGCACCACTCCAGCCACTCCCTGGCCCCCTTGTCACCACCGTACGGCACCGCGACAAGGTCTTGGACCACGTAGACCGACTGATGCACCTCCTGAACGTGACGCTGCAGCCGCCCACGGGCGTCCACCTGTCCGTGTACGGCAACTTCTCTGCCCCGCAAGCGCAGGAGTTCGTCGTGGCCCGCGGCAACGTGCTGCAGCTGCTGCGCCCCGACGCGGCCGGACGGCTGGACGTGCTCATCTCGACGCCTGTGTTTGGGGTCGTGCGGTCGCTGCAGTCGTTTCGCCTCACTGGCGGCGACCGCGACTTTATCGTCGTCGCATCGGACGCTGGCAAACTCGTGGTCATGGAGGTGGACGCCGCGCTGCGTGCGTTCCAGGCAAAGCACATGGAAACGTATGGGAAAACAGGCTGTCGACGCATCACGCCGGGTCAGTACTTGGCGGTGGACCCGAAAGGACGGGCAGTGGTCGTCGCAGCGGTCGAGAAGCAGAAGCTCGTGTACGTGATGAACCGCGACGCGTCCAGTCGCCTCACGATCTCGTCGCCGTTGGAAGCGCATCGCTCGCACGCGATTCACTTTGACGTGGTGGGGCTTGACGTGGGGTTTGAGAACCCGCTGTTTGCCTGTTTAGAGCTCGACTATGCCGATGCTGACGCAGATCCAAGTGGCCACGCGGCGCAGGAGGCCGTCAAGACACTTGTGCTGTATGAACTGGATCTGGGGCTGAACCACGTGACGAGGCGGTGGAGTGAAGACGTCGTGCGGAGTGCTAATATGCTTGTGGCTGTACCGGGAGGAGGAGATGGACCTGGAGGTGTCCTGGTGCTCGGGGAGAATACTGTGCAGTACAAGAACGAAGGCCATGTGGGATTGACATGTGCCATTCCACGACGAGAGCGAGAAGAGCGAAATGTCGTGATTGTTGCTGCGGCGACGCATAAGCAGCGAGATCTCTTTTTCGTGCTACTGCAGTCCGAGCTTGGCGATCTATATAAGATCTCACTCGAGCATTCTGGCACTGTCGTGGAGGAGATCAGGATTCAGTTTTTTGACACCATTCCAGTGGCAACAGCTATGTGCATTACGAAGACAGGACTGCTCTTTTGCGCGTCCGAGTTTTCCAACCACTATTTATTCCAGTTTTTGAGCGTCGGAGAAGGAGACGAGACAGCCACGTGCTCGAGTTTAGCGATGGATTCCACGAATTTTGCTACGTTTCCGTTGAGAAAGCTGAAGAATCTGGCACTGGCCAGCTTCATGCCGAGTCTCAGCCCTGTGACTCAGTTGCTCGTAGATGACTTGGCCCATGAGCAAACACCGCAGATGTACGCGTTGTGCGGCAACGGCAATCGCTCGTCGCTACGCGTGCTGCGGCATGGTCTTCCAATCACAGAAATGGCTGCGAGCGCGCTGCCTGGTGTTGCCAAGGCAGTTTGGTGTCTGAAAGAGTCGTACTCGGACCCGTACGACAAGTATATTGTTGTGAGTTTCGAAGACGCAACGCTGGTGTTAGAGGTAGGCGAGACGGTCGAAGAGGTGTCTCAATCTGGATTCCTGCGTGATCACGGATCTTTGTTGGTGGCGCTGCTGGAAGACGACTCGAAGCTTCAGATCCATGCGAATGGCATTCGACACGTGCCACGGTTCCAGCCTGTGACGGAATGGAAGGCGCCCGGAAAGAAGGTCATCGAGCGCTGTGCTGCCAATTCTCGTCAGGTGGTGATTTCGCTTGCCGGTGGCGAAGTGATCTACTTTGAGCTGGGCCAGTCTGGTGAGCTTGCGGAAAAGGGTAAACTGGATCTTGGGTTTGAAGTCTGTAGTTTGGACTTGGGCGAAGTTCCCGAGGGTCGCCAGCGTTTCCAGTTTATGGCTGTTGGTAGTTGGGACAACACGGTTCGGATCCTATCACTGGACCCCAACGATCTCTTTCGGCAGAAGTCTACGTTGGCATTGACGTCACACGCGCATACGCTCTGCCTGGCTCAGCTGCAAAACGAATCGTCGACATCGGACTCGGAGAACTCGTCGCAAGCGCTTTTCTTGAGTATCGGCTTGGACAATGGTGTGCTTCAGCAGTCGCTGATTGACCCGATTACAGCAACTTTGTCGAATTCTCGCTCGCGCTTTCTCGGCACGAACCCTGTAAAGCTGTTCCGCGTGGCAGTCGAAGGAAAGCGCTCGATTCTTGCACTATCGAGTCGTGCCTGGATCTCTTACTTCCATCAAACACGGAGGCACCTCACTCCGTTGTCGTGTGAGCTGCTTTCCCACGCAAGTTCCTTCAACTCCGAGCAGTGTCCTGGTGGTATTGTTGCGCTAGCGAACGACGGGATGAAAATTCTGACAGTGGATCAACTCGGAGACACTTTCAATCAGCAAAAGTGTAACTTGCGTTACACACCTCGCAAAGCAGTGGTCCACCCTCCATCACGGCGACTGATTATAATCGAAAGTGACCACAACGAATATGGAGCTGCTTACAAGAGGCAGAACGGTCTACAGATTCCCGATGTTCGAAGTGCCACTGAACAGGAGGACGAAGATGAGGACGAGACAAACGATGCGTTGTTGTTCGCACGCGGTCCTCTTCCCGTGGAGAAGGACAAGTGGGCGTCATGCGTGCGAATTGTCGATCCCGTGTCTTGTCAAACGGTAGTTTGCGAGGAGCTGGATGTGGACGAATGTGCCCGAAGCATAGCTACTTGTGTATTCCACGACCGTGGCGGAGAAGCATTCATTATTGTTGGTACGGTAACGAAAATGCAGTTGCATCCGCAGAAGGCGCCCGCGGGGGGCTGTTTGCGTGTGTACCGTGTCGTCGAAGGTACGCAGCTGGTGCTCGTCCACACGACTGAGATCGACGACATCCCGCACGCTATGTGCGAGTTCCAGGGACGGCTTCTCGTATCGGTCGGGCGGGCCCTTCGAATTTATGATCTTGGAAAGAAGAAGATGCTGCGCAAGTGCGAGAACCGCAGTTTTCCGTCCATTTTGGTAGAGCTGAAGGCTGCTGGCGATCGAATTTACGCATCGGATTTGCACGAGTCATTCCATTTCGTCAAGTATAAGAAGGATGAAAATCAGCTCGTGATTTTCGCTGATGACTGTGTGCCGCGCTTCATCACCAGTAGCGTCTTGCTGGATTACGACACGTTGTGCGGAGCGGACAAATTTGGAAACGTATTTGTGTGTCGACTTCCATCCGAAGTCTCCGACGAGATTGACAATCCCACGGGCAACCGTATTTTGTGGGACTCCGGCCTTCTCAATGGCGCGCCTAACAAGCTCGAACAGGTGGCTCAGTTCCACGTAGGGGACGTGGTGACTAGCATGGTGCGCGGCAGTTTAGTTCCCGGTGGAACGGAAGCGATCGTTTACGCAACAATAATGGGTCGAATAGGCGCTCTGATCCCGTTTACTTCGCGCGAGGACGTGGACTTTTACACTCATCTGGAGATGTATATGCGCCAGGAGCAGCCCCCGCTGTGCGGCCGAGACCACCTGTCGTACCGGTCGTACTTTATCCCGGTGAAGAACGTCACAGATGGTGACCTGTGCGAGCAATTTAGCACACTGAGTGCAGGAAAACAGGCTAGTGTGGCTGGAGACCTCGACTGCACGCCGGCCGAGGTGCTAAAGAAGCTGGAAGATATTCGCAACCGTCTGTTGTAGAAATGGTAGCTCATGCCTTTTGCTACAGTTTGAGAAGAAGTGCAGCTGATAACGAAAGAGCAGCAGTGACCGACAGCTACTCTCGCGCTGAAGTGGACAAGTGGCGTCACTGCACAACCCGAGTCGTCAACACGGTGTAGGTGCAATGTCCGTCGGGAGACGCGGTTGGCGGTCGCTGCCAACGGGAAACAGCAGTCTTTTTGTTTCCAGGAAAATCTCCTGCAACACGGCCACCTGTGGCTGGAACGTCTATGCGAAACAAACGTTATGCACAAAGCGTCAATACAATGACATCGATTGTCGTTGTGCTGTAACACCCCACCTCAAATGGCAGCACCATATCGTCTTGCCCCTCGACCATGAGCACGAGCGAATACACTACACTTGAGAAAGTGATGGCTTCGTTCACCGCCACGCCACAAATCTTGTCCAGGTCTACAAACTGGCACGAAGATAGGCCACATGGTCGAGAGCTGGGTGAGCTTTATCATCATCATCATCAATTATCGTGAACCTGCGTCTCGCCACCTTGCTGCTCAATTCACCACTGCGATGCTTCTTGCTCAGTCTCACACCAAGCGATGGCACCACCAGCATCGCCTCTATCACGATGTCGTCAACAGTCACAGCAACAAACAGTCCCGTCAACACTTTGTACACTTGTAGCAACAAGGGCTATGCCCACAGTATTGTTGCCCTACAACAGTATCCAAGCCGGCATACCTTCGACAATGACGCGTCCTGTAGCTTTGGTGATCCATGCAGCTGAAAATGTCAGTAGCAGCAGACCAACGAACAGTCGAGCAGAGGGTATTACATCCCATTCAATAGACGATAACAAGCCCCCGACGACGAGTACGAATGCACTGATCAAGCAGTAGACAGCTGTGTATCTCTTCTCAGAGATGTTGACCCCAGATAGCGCAAACTCTAGTCCCTCTTGTCCATATGCTCTCACGCGCAGCACCACTTGATCTCTCTGCGGCATGGTAAGGTCTTCACTTCCATCAATTTGTGTGCGACACACCGAAATGAAGACCAACGTCTCTCTCAGTAAACATAATGGCTACACGCGGATGAACAGCCCGTTCCTCGTTGTTGCTTTGCTTACACTATGTGCAATAGATTCTTGCAATTGCTATCAGGCTCACTATCGCAGTACCTCATTGAGCTACGTAGCCATTGCAGACGCGACACAGTTTGGTACTGGAAGTTGTGGTCTGCAACGTCGGTCTATTCGAGAAAGTCGAAGTGGAAGGAAAACGAGTGAGCTCGGTTTTGTTTGCATCAGGTGTGTCTTGGAACATATTGGGACGTCTGGTCGGGCACAGCTCAAAGACTGTGATTTGCTTCCCCGACAGCACGTTTTCAGCCAGTTAGTCTGACGCCCCGTACAGTAATCAACAAGATGAACGCATAACACATCGGTCGAATTGAGATTGGAGTCGCTTGTTGCCGTACAAATAAGCGGTGAGACGTTCCATTCGTTTTGTGGTCCTCAACAATAATGAGCAGTGCTCCCTACGATAAGTTGTCCTGCACAACCGTTTGACGTGCAGCGTATCGTCAAGTATGGCGTCCACCTATTGTGCGTGATAGCCGCCGATTATGAGCCATCGCTCAGATGGGCAATGTGGCGTTACAGAAGGAGATCTGAGCAGGTTTTGGCTCGTTCCGTCATGTAATAAAGGAAGTCGTCGACGATGCTATTGTCATGACGATCTGTTCGTTGGGAAGGAAACCTGCTTACGTACATCACACGTCATGGATGGATTATGTGCTGTATGCATTGCAGGTATAAGACAAAGGCCGTCCGATACGTCTATGGGCATCCTGGCAACAATCCCAGGATCACGCAAGACTTTACTCCTTTCGGTGCTCGTGAACCTCTCTGCAACGCACCACATTCTACTCGGCCCAGCGTAAATTCGGCCTTCTTCTATTTGTGACTTCTTACGGAAACCTTGTCGTTCGTCAGCTCTATCTGAGCATTCTCATCCTCTTTGATGGGATCAAAAAGCTTCAAAGTCGACCTGCTAGTCCGGACACGTAGCTGTCGAAGCTCACTCCTTCGAACCCGCTTTCAACCCCTGAAGCTCCCCTTCTTCGAACCATCGCTACTCCTCATTATCTCCATCGCATTTGATGAGGCATGAAACCAGCAGCCCGCTCTGTGCAATCGAGGCAATTGGTAATGACAAGCGAGATCGAAGAGTACTGACTAGTGCGTGACAGTCGGTTGGCCGACTTTGCAGGTATCGGCGACCTCACAACGCTCATCACAATCTATTGCAGTCTGCAGACACCAGCGGTAGTGTCGTCGCTAGATGCCGCGATGGTGCTGGCATCCGTCGGCTAGATCTTATGTGTTGCATCTCGTGAAAAAGGGGCTCAACCTTGACATTGGCAAGCTCCAGACCGTCCGTGACATGTGACGGAGAGAGCACTGCAATCCATGCGGTGACACTGTCATTCTACGGCTGAAGTTGCGCTTTTTCTACATTCGACGCCCATGGAAAGGAGGAGCGAATGTGGCTCACAACAATGCCACAGGTTATGGATGCATTGGTCGAGTAGATGGAGGTTTCCACCAACCTCTGCTTCGTAATTGACACCTCCATCTAATAGAGCCATAACTTCTCAGAGGGACCACCGCAGCTGCAGCGCGCGGTGGTCTCGTCGGTCGCAAGTTCCCACCAATCACCGCCCGACGTTTTATCCGCGAATCCCTGCTGCTCAATCGATCAAGTCAGCAGCTGATTCGATGAAAAGCGACCAGGGGGACCCCGAGATCCACATAGGGACAAAGAAAAACAACCACAAAGCGCTCCCGGAACAATGGACTCGATCTTCGGCGTTGTGGGCAAAGACTTCGTGCTGCTGGCAGCCGACTGCAAGGTCGCACGCAGCATCCTGGTCTACAAAGACGACGAAGACAAGGTGCGCTTCTGCATACACGTTTGAAGCGGTCTGTCGCTCGCGTAACACGCTTTTGCTTTGCGTCGTCCATGTGACTGGTTGGAGTGCAACGTCGTCATGGCACATACTGTGTAACACGCCTTTGTTTCGTCTGGCCTATGTGCTCGTGTGTGTGCTCTGCTTTGTCAGTCGATGAATCTAGATGACCACAAGGTGATGGTCACGTCCGGCCCTCAGAGTGACCGCTTGGCTTTCAGTGAGTACATCCAGAAGAACATGAAGCTCTACGAACTGCGCAATGGCGTGACGCTCGACGGCCCAGCTACCGCCAATTACGTGCGTGGAGAGCTGGCGCGCTTCCTCCGCCGAGCGCCGTACCAAGTGAATCTACTGCTTGGCGCGGTGGACGCATCTCCCGAGCAAACCAGCGAGCCGAGTCTGTACTGGATCGACTACTTTGGCTCGATGGTCAAAGTGAACTTTGGCGCACACGGCTACGGTGCACACTTTTGTCTGTCCATTTTCGACCGTGAGTGGAAGCCCGACATGTCGCTCGACGAGGCCAAAGACGTGCTCCGGAAGTGCCGCGCAGAGCTCGACCAGCGCTTTCTCGTGCGCAACGGCCAGTGGGCGTACACGGTGAGTGACTGAGTTTGTTTACGTATCAAAGACGAGATGGAAAAGGACTTGACCGTAATGTTGCTGTTGCAGTTGATCGAGCTCAGCGGTATCTCGCAGATCAAGCTCGAGTAGGTGCAAAAGGTGTTCGAGAGGACACGGAGTGAGGGAAAGTGGTGACGTAATGAAGGACATGATTCAGCTCGTTTTGGTCCATCCGGTCCATTTGTGATTGCGCATGGCACACTGCTACTGCAGATGGAAGGATCTCTTGTTTTTGATGCATGCGTATTCTGTCGCAGCGCTTGACCGAGTGTTGTGCTTTCGTGGCTGACACTCGTGGGCCCGATGGTGAGTCACGGTAGACGCCGTAGCTCATGTCCGCGAGGCAAACAAGACCAGCACGTCACAATCGTTGACTTACCACGAGACGACAAGATACGCGATGGAGGCAACTCACCGCTTTTGGTCTACGAGCGTATCGGTGTTCGAATCAGTGCATTGGTTCTGAGACTCTTTTCCATGTTGGAATCGTCGCGTTCGTTCAATATGCCTTGCTCAAGTTAGCACGTCAGAAGCTGCACTGCTGACGAAGACACGGTTGCTTGACATTGCTGAATGTCGAGTTCCTCGTTTTGTGCTGGGCATGACCATTCCGTGACCGCACATCTGTCTGGTATACTGGCGTTTGTTTTCGCGCTCCACTATTTTGATTAGCAGACGCTGCAGTCGTACGCAGACCTGTCCATCTGTAATGCACTTCCTGTAATTTACAACAACAGCGGCTTTGCTTGATCCGCATTCACCTACGGTTATAGCGATAAAGGTCTCGTTGTTTGACACAGCAGTTACAGTGGGTATCTCAAACGTCAAGTATGTGATGTCCGACGTTCACAAGCAATAGTGCACCTCGTCCCGTTGAGACTCTCGCGGAAGACCAATCTCGACACGAAAGTTCCAGTGATCTTGTCAATTCCATTTTGCCCATTCCTTGTTCTACGGTTGACACGCGCACTCCCGGTCCTGCAGTCATCCTCGCGGAGCACTGTTGCCCTAGCTAAAAGAACTTTATGTAAATAACTAGCAGCACAAAGAGCGCGACAGCAACGATGGGGCCATACTGGCGGTAGATGGCCTGCATGCGCAACTTCTTGGCCCCCCACTTTAGGTCCTTCGACCTGTCCGCCAAGTTTGACGAGATGCGCGAAACATCTGAGCAGAACGTGGCAGCAAACAACTGTGAGGGATCTCACACGATAAGCAGCTGCCTAGCGAATCATCGCACACAAAGTCCACGCAAAAAAGCTTACGTTCAACTCGCTCGCCGCGGTTAAGCACCTCTTGAATGTTCTTGCGCATGATGTTGTGAATGTCGGCCAGATCGTCGTTCAAGCGGTGCATGTTCTGGGACGAGTTCGGGTCCGCGTATTCTTTGCGCTTTTTCTGGATAAACTTGTCTATTTGATCAGCAACGAAAACACGTCAGACGCTACACGGCTGAGTAGCAAGTTCTAGCTGGTGCAGCCCATGGCCTGTCGACTCACCGAACTTGATGAACGCGTAAGGTCTAGCGGCTGTCGTGATCACGTCCCGCCAGTTGCTGCCGCTATCACGTTCCAGCTCCTCCACAAAGCCAACATGCACCTCCTCTAGATACAAGAACGCAAGGCGTTTCGGAAACCCTCGATCCGCCAGCGTCAAGTAGCACACTCCTTCCTGCATCAAGTAGCTGTGAAGCACACACATCATGACAACACGAGCAAGCAAAGTCACGATTAGTTGACGAGAATAAAGTCGATAAGCTTTACCGTGTAGTGCAGTAAAAGACCAACGTACTGGAAAGTGTAGGCCCCCGACTCGATACTGCACTTGGTCGGCGACCGCTGGTCCAGTTTCTTCAGAATCTGCTTGGCTTGCTGCTTATATGTGTCCAGATTGCCGTCCATGTCTCCCATAGACTCCATAGACGCGACCTGCAGCCAAGGAAGTAAGTAAGTAAGTAAGTGCCGTCGGTCCAAGTAGCATCGCAATGTCGCGCGTCATCGTAATGAATGCCGTGACGATCGTTTTGATCAGGGGCAAAGCTGGTAAAAAGTATCGATACGATAGAAACCAGCCTATGCGGGATGTCGCTTGACAGGGATATGTATGGATACATTGCGGTACTGTACTGTAAAGTAACGATATCGATGCGCACACACAGAGACACATACCAAATGGATCTACAAACAAAAGCACATACAACTTGACTCAACAGGGGGTCGTGTCAAACACATACCAGCAACATGCCGTCGGACACGCGCGCTACAAACGTCATGATCGGCATGACGGCGCGTGGGCTCTTTCGTTCGGAGTGTCGCCGTCGCTCTGTTCGCGGTGATTCGCTTTTAAATTACTTACGCGGCCCGCGCTTTGGCCCAGCGAGAGCTCATGTGATTTAGTGTGGCGTACACTAAATTCGCACCCATCCATGACGTCGTCGCCGCCGCCGTACTCGACGGCGCACGTGGACAACTGCGCGCTCGGCGCGTGGTACCACCAGCTAAAGCACGTGGCTATCAAGAGCGTCATTGTGGATCTGCCGCCCGAGTTTGTGTCGGTGCTACTTGCGGACGGCGTGACGCTGCCACAAGCTCCAGTGTCGTCTGACGTAAACGAACCCGAGGAAGACGCCGTAGACGATAGCGTTACTTCACTCTCCGCCACCCAGCGACGCGCGATTGCGACCGTTCGAGCGCGCGTGGAGCACGTTCTGGACGAGTTGGGAGGCAAAGCCTTTGTCAAGACCAAGTGGAGCGCGCCCCGGGACGCGGCGTGGATGCTCGGGACGCTGAAGTGCACGAGCTTCGACGACGTGTTCCTGTTACTTCAGGCGTCCGACTTTATCGTGCACGACCTCACGGAACCTTATGCTGGTTGTACGCTTGATAGCAGTAACAGCGACCACGAGACGACGCGGACTCGCTCGGGGAGCTACTTGGTGCTCAAGAAATGGTGCAACTTGCTGGACTCGATGCTGTTCCGGTGCTTTGTCGTTGGGCATCGTCTCGTAGCAGTGTCGCAACGCAATTGCAACGAGTTCTTTGCCTTCCTCGTCGAGCAGCAAGAAGCGTTCTGTGACCTGCTGCATGCGTTCTACGCGACAAACTTCCGGACACGAGGAGGCGAGACGTTTGTATTTCCAGACCCCGACTACAGCTTTGACGTGTACATTGACAAACGTCGACGCGTGTATCTCTTGGACATCAACGTCTTTGGCAGTGTCACGGACACGCTGCTCTTCTCGTGGGAGGACTTGATGGAGTTCCAGACAGAGGCGCCAGCAAGACCACAGGACGTCGAAGACGAGCAGCACACGATCGATTTCCGCGTGGTCGAGTCGGAGCAGGGTATCCGCACAAACCCGCTGAGCGAGTATCGTGCACCGACTGATCTAGTGCAGCATCTGGCTGGAGGTGCTGGCTTTGACGCCTTTATCGAGCAAGTCAAGCGCGACAACGCCACTCACGGCAACAACGATCAGTGAGTGACGTGGGAAGGCGACGAACGTTCAGAGGTCGGCAGTCGGTGCAGCACTTGCCGCTAGCAGTTTATTCGGTATAAATTAAAAAAAACTTGTGCTTACTCGCTCATTCCAGACAAGTGAAAGTGCGATCACTGGTGGCTTCTCGCACTTGTCTTCGCCTGCAAGTTGCAGTCACCATCGTCGTCTGTTCTTTTCTACATGGGATACGCGCTTCAAAACTCAATGTCTGTCCTGTCCGATGCAGACTGCAGCGCCGAGCTGACTGATTCAGTCCCTTCCGAACAAGTAGCAGTAGCAGCAGCAGTCCGCGGCTCACACCAACTTGCCAGTCATCGATGTGCGCATTCCAATCACTTCAAAATCTACCAAACCGGTAGCAGCACCACCACCACCAACAGAGACTGCGCTTGATCCGCAGCTGTCGCCGCTGTCCGCTGTCTGTTGTATCGAGCACTTGTCAAATCCAGACCTAGAGCTCGTACGAGCCACGAGCAGAGTCGTTGTCGTCGTGGTGGTCCGGAAACTCATCGCTGCCTTTATTGCTGTGCCCGCTAAGCTGACTGCGCTGATCCACGTCAATGCTCAAGCCAGACGACATCTCGTAGCTGTTACAACTACTACCACGTGAGGAGCGTGGCGACTCCTGAGCGCTCAGGTACGAGTCGTTGTCCTTGGGTTCCATTGCACTCAGCCATAGATTCGTGCCATTAGCGGCAATGTTCTGCCCACCGTCACTATGTGTCGAGTCCACATTGATATCCAATCGGTTCGCTGAGCCCGGGGACGTGACGGAATTGTCATAAAACTGAGCATAAGCTCCGCCTGCTGTGACCGTCCCAGCAGGCGGTGTCTCTGTGCTGTTCATCAATCCGTTGCCAGCTCCCATCGCGCGTGGATTGTGCGAGTTCTGGCCCGTGAAACCCACTGGTGTGGGGTTGAACCCCTTGTCCATCGACAGCTCAAAGGGCGACAGGGGGTCGTCTTCGATCTCGCGTCGACGACGAATGATGCACATGACGATGACGGCCATAATAGCGACTGCAACGACAATGCCCACGACTATGCCAATGACCACACCGGAGCTCATGCTCGACGCACTCGACGTGTCCGAAGCGGGTCCCTCAGCAGCCGACGACGAGCCGGAACTTGTTGTTGTCGTGTTTACCATACCATCAGGTGTCGGCAGCCCCGCGGAAGGTACTGCTGGCGACGACGGGGTCGAACCTGTTGGCGCAGCTGACGGAGGCGTACCTGGAGGAGGCGCAGTCGGAGACTCGGTGGGTGGAGCAGGTGGTGTTCCTTCGGACGGATTCGTCGAGCTCGTTGCGTCCGGCACAGACGGAGCCGGTGCTTCTTCTGACGACGGCGCGTCGGGCGCGTTGGGTGTCGTCGCCGGTGGCGTCGGTGTACTTGCGGGAGGAGTGTCCGGAGTAGTAGGCGGCGACGGCGCTTCCGGTGTTGTAGGGGTACTGGGAGGGGTACTGGGAGGGGTACTGGGAGGGGTACTGGGAGGGGTACTGGGAGGGGTACTGGGAGGGGTACTCGTAGGGGTACTCGGAGGGGTACTGGGAGGGGTACTGGGCGTTGGCGACGGCGGCACGTCTGGTGGTGGGGTACTCGGCTGCTCTGGTGAGGGCGTCGGAGTTGAGCTCGGCGAGCTGTCGGTCGGTGTGGACGGCGGCCCCTGCGACGGAGTGGACGCAGGAGTACTGGGGCCGGATTCGCTACCCGCACTGCCATTGAGCTGCAAGTATCGCTGTACGGCTGAGGTCAGTTGGCGCACGTGGTGGTCATCGCCAGGCACCGCACGTGCTTGTGCGTCTGCTGTCGGTCGCCAGACCGCGTCCTGTGCGTGGGACGTGGGGGTCACGCACCCAGCGAGGACGGCCGAGACGAGTACGAGCGCGAGTTTCATGGCCCCACTTACTTGTTCGAGCGCGAGCGAGTGCGTGCAGTGTATTGCACGGAGTGTGGTGCGGCAGACGGCGTCGAACAAATTGACGATCGCGTGGTTGCGAGACGGCGAGCAGAGGTGGAGGAGGAGGCACGAACGGCCGAGGAATGTGGGAATGGGAGACGTGGCTTTTCCCTCGCGTGACTGGCGCTCTCGCTCTCTCTATGTATGAGTGTGTGTGTGTGTGCATTTATGTGTGGGTTCGCCGCGTAGGGGGTACGCTTGCGACCATCAGAAGAAAAGGGAAGGGAGCTGCTGGGATTACTTACGCCTGGTGCTGGCACCTACTGTCAGCCAGACGGCCGGGCAGCCAGGCAGCCATCGATTTTCGATTTGAGTACGAGCGACCCATTTCTGGACGCACTTTGGGTCGAGTTGTCGCAGGAAGGCGTTCGAACAGCGACCCGCGCGAGGGCATGTTGGGTAGAAAAAGAGGACCATATGTCTTTTCAGAGGCTTTGCGCACGACCGGCAGGAGGTCGCACGTATGTAGAGAAGCGACTCGCCGTCTGTTTTCGACGCGGGTGTTGCTTGGGCAGCGGCTATGTTGCACGTAGACCCGTGGACGACGTCAGATGGACGTGCGCGTGAGGCAAAAGGAAACACGGGACTGGAGTCGACATGGAATGGCTCGTGTCGGATGCACGTCACGAAACGTGGGCACTCGAGTTGAAGGTGCGCGACGTGGGTGAATCAGCTGTTTTTTCTGCCGACGAGCGAGCGAAAAGATGCAGTATTGCACAACGATCGACTGACTGGCTGTTTCCTTTGACCAGCCGTAACGGAAGCTGACTTGTAACGTTGAAGACCATGTCGCAGCAAATGATAAACATTGAATCCACGAGCTAATTGCGTGTGTTAGGTGAATGAGGAGAGCCAGTTGGTGCAAGGGCCCTTCACTACACCTTTTCGAGGTCGGTTTCAAGCACGTAACGACACAATAGCAACTTCACGGGCATCGCTTTTGCAAACAAACACAAGCGATCGCGCTCGGGTGTAGCCGTTTACAGCATGTCATCTCGTCCGCTACTATGCCAAACGAATGAAACACAAAACTGGTACTTCCTGCTGAAAAGTACGCTGGCGCGGTGGTTCTTCAAGCAGATTCTAGCGTCCCGTCATGTCTCGTCGAGGTATTCCTGTCCACCACTTTTTATAGTTTCGTTGCAGTTACCTTTGCAGTGATTCGTCTCATACACAGGCGCCACAAAGTTTCTACCCCTTTGGCCGCTGAAACGGAGCGCAGAAGTTGCAACGCCCTCAGCTACAGACCACACCGATTTTGTTGTTGCTGTCGTTCGGACGGGATCGGTAAGCTCAGTTCAGAGCTTTCAGCAGGACTAGCCGCACGTGACGACTGTCCTCAATGCTCTCTTCGGGCATTCGTGCGATTGTCAAGTCCACGCAAGTAGCAGCAGATCGTGTTCCACTTCTGTATAAAACAGGGATCATGCCTACGTATATGCCAACAAATCCTCTCACATTATGTGCAGCCCTTTAGTTCGTCTAAAGCTATCAGGCTAAGCGGCAATGGCGACAACTTCCATCCTAGACGCACGTTTTCAAGTTTCCCGCCTGGGCGGTGCTCGATTCAATTTAGTTTGCTCAATTTAGAGAAGTACAAGCAGCTGTAGCTTGCAGTTACAGCTGCTTGTACTTCTCTAAATTGTCAAGCTATCGCGCGACAATCGCCATTTTATCGTTGCTGTGCGGGTCGCTTGCTTCTTCAGACGAGTGTCTCACGCAGCACACAAAGTGAGCGTCTGCACCGAAGTCACGACACAAAGACAACTGACGCGAGGACAACTGACGCGAGGACGGACATGCACAATTTGGACAAGACAACATGTAGACGAAGTCTGTTGCTGTGACATCTCAAACTCTGGACATTGACGAATAAACCAGCTCAGAAAGGATGTTTTACGTGTTGATAAGCGTGAGCGCGATTATAGGTGCTTATCGGGTCACACGATGAAGAACCGGAGCTTTAAGGTCAAGTGAAACAATTGTCACACACAAATTGTTCGTAACGAGAGGACCCCGTTACATGACTTAGACTCGAACAAATGCCCGTGCGAACATTATGGGTTTCGGTAACATTCTCAAATGTTGATTTATAGGGTAACATTTGGTGACTTCTGCTTATTGGTTGACACTGGCCATTACACCAACCAACAAAGCGTCTAAATCAATAATGAAAGCGCTGCGCGTTGCCAGCAGATAGTTGCAGTTCGTGTTTGCATTGATAAATGGTCAAGAAAGGCTCAAATATATGTATTGATAAGCTGCACCATACTACGAACATGTATCTTTTTACCTTAGGCTCACGTGTTCTCGCAGGTCCATTCGCTTCCTGGGCACGTACGCGTACGTGGGGTTTCGTAGCACTAAAAAAGACCGTTATCAATGGAGCTTAACCGATACTGTCATCAGTATAATCGAGGTGTTCCGTTGCACCTGGTTGCACGTCGCGATTCGTCTAACGATTACAGTCTCATCCACCCTGATTAGCGGTGAATTAGGGCAGCTTCCACGTGAAGGCTTTCCCCATTCCAGTGACATCGGATGGGCTACTGCCGAAATAGTAAGTTCGACCGTAGGTTCCCCGGTCGTAAGTAACATGTTGTATGTCTAAAGGAAGACGAGTGACATCCCGCAATTGCCAAATTTATACAGCATAGACTTGATACTGCTGAAGAAGAGATAACCTTGTTTCACCATGGATGTTAGAAACATCCAGAATGTAAGGGGGACAAGGTGCTTCCCAGTTTGAAGTGTTGAGACAACAGCAAGCTAGTGCTGATGTTGGCGGGCTGACGTATGTGCATCGAGCCGAAATCTAGAAGGTTCATATCTACAAGTTCACGGCGGTCGAGGGAAACTCTTTGCAAATAAATGTTGTCAATCTCGACGACACCATCGAAGCTCGTCTCGGCAAAGAAGATGCGAAGTAGGTGATGTTCGGCATGTCCAACTTGGTGGACGTGCCAACACCTAGGCCCTTACGGCGCAAGCTTCGGAACCATTCTCGGTCGTATAATACATGCAGGGAGCGACTTAGACAAACGTATAGGCCGCCGCGTGCCGGACGTAGGACTCATGATGAGCTCATGCACTTAAAGTAGGGTAAGCGTGATATATGTACACTAACGTTTGACACATACAACATCTCTTGAGTTGTATCGTGTGTAAGCCCTTTGATGAGCAAATGCATATTACTGTATTCATCGACGGTCTTGCGGATGCTACCGATAAGACACACATATTCCGCCTGGCATTGGAGACGTTTGAACAAGAGATTCCGTGGTAATTATGAGTACTTTAGCTTGAGGCCACCTTGAGTTAGTTTGGCATCCTGTATCCCACCTACAAGACAGGGAAGCGTAGATTAATAGCGCATGCATTGGCATCGGTTATGTCGAGAGCGAAATGCCTTGCTATCATGCCAACACCCAATTGCAAAGGCGCAATCAACGTCATAACTTAGAACACTACGCCTATGAGTGCAGCACCTTACGCCCAGAGTCGCACAACATTGAGCGGAGTGATCGCACGTCCCGAAGGAAGCCAAAGAAGCGCGGGTTCGACGTTGTTGGGAAGTCGCGAACGGTCAGGGTCAGCGGGTGGAGACCCTACTCATCCAGAAAATTGGAGAAGTCTTGAAGTTCTAGACGATAATCATTCCATCCTATAGTCGCCGTGCATTCCTGATCGTAGTGATGACGTATCCCTCATTGTCATGGAGATTGAAGTGACAAACGGCACTTCACCCCGATCCTAGTCGCAAAGGATGCGTTTTCGCACTTTTCGAACGCCTAGATGCTAGAAATGTGTAGGATCAAGTGTTGGTCGCGAAAAGCTTCACACGAGAATGACGTGCGCCTTGGTAGAAACGTAGAATGGGGATAACTACGCATTAGGAGATGAACAGTACGATGATACTTACATTCCACTAGAATTGGCTAACAATGATGTCATCCGTGATTTACCCTGGCTCAGAAGATACAATCCATGACATAGTTGGTAGCATCGATCCGTGAAGACATCTGTTGCTTGCCTATCATATGTCCATCTGGTGGACGTACTAGAGCGTCAACAACAATATGGATGTTCTACGAGTGAGTGCGATAGCTTCACTTGTGTTATTGTCATTTAAAAGACTTCACAAGATCTCAGTGTGGCAACCAACCACGCTGTGAAGCTTCTAGCGGCGGCTGTGGTCCTATGCAAAAAGCGCCAAAGTACCAAAACTCGAATAAGTCAAGTGATCCAGGACGTAAATGAATGTCTAAAAGGCAGCCTCCAAGGAATAGTAAAAGTGTAATCGAGAAGCGGCAACGTGGTAATACAAGAATGAATGGATATTACATCGAAAAAAGGATCTCGCGGTGGTACCATATTGAAACTTGAGGGAATAAATGAGGTGGGTATTAGGAACGTGATAGAATAAGTTCCCAAGAAGACATAGGGTCATATAGCGTCTTGACCAATAACGGGTCTAGAATAGGTGCTTGTACGCTCGGTCTACATCGATTTATACTAAATATACTCGGAGATTACTCACTTTCCAAATGTCGAGTCTAGAAGCGTTTTGTGAGATCATTTGTAATGGCATAGTCAATCAGGTCTGAGGAATCATCGCAGAGGACGAACTAGTAAACGAAATTTGGTTCGGCAATGGTTCGAATGAATAGAGCAAACGAAACTTGGAAAACTTATCGATGAAAGGAAGTGCCTTTAAAACGACAAATCGGATAAACTGATACACGCCTAATTCTGAAAATCGTCAAGGAATTATCATATGTATACATTTAAATATCTCTCTAAGAAATATACTTGATTCCGTACAAATTTATTTGTATATGGATAATAGCACTCAATACGAATCGAAGTGAAAACTGGCAAGCAGTATAATGTAACGAAGTAGTGACTACTGCCTAGTGGACAAGCTACAGCGATCGGCAAAACTTTTACCATTCAAATATCAGCGAAACATGCGAAATTTAACTTCCCCACACTGCCTACCGACCATATGTGTGCGAAAGGCCACATGAGGAAGTATGATAGTGCACCCATTATCAAACGGAATGCTTCAGCGGTACCGGATCCGACACTGATACCGATGGGGAGCTTAATTCTAGATA